TATAAGTAATTTTACTTAGACTTTAGTCTTTTATGTATTTTCTTTTGTCTCGTGTGTGTCCTTTGACCACAGATAATGTAACAAAATATATTATTTAGTGTCAAATAAAATATACTATACTATACTATTTATCATTAATATTTTTTTTTTATAATTTCAGTGTGTGGTTGTAGTGTTACAGGTACAGTATCTGCAAGTTTCAATGCTGGAACATGTGATTCTATAACTGGACAGTGTGACTGTAAAAATGGTGTTAACTCAAGACAATGTGATGAGTGTTTACCAACCTGGGTTGATTTTAGTATTGATGGTTGTACAGGTATGAATTTATCCTAGGATTTATGCAAGTACTATGTATGACAAATATCTTAGTTTAAGTCGTGTGAATTGCGAATAACCATAAAATTAACATCTATAGAATGATTACTGGCTAGTGTTCATCTCAGGCTATGTTTGCTTGTTTCAGTGTCTTTGCATGTGTATCAGAGGCGATTAGTTTGTGTTATGTCTGTCCATGCATACAGAGTCATTATTCCCAGATCTTGGCTGGAGCTGTTTACTACAGCAAGACTTGCAAGGAAATAATTCCTATTGTTTAGAAGTCTATATACCAGTATATACTTTTCTTTTTTAAAAAAAAAACCTACTTCAATCAGTAGTAACACAAGACTGCCTTATTATGTCATTCCAGAATGTAACCAATGTACACAGACGCTATATGAGGCAGTGACCGAGTTGACAACAAACTGGGATGACTATTACGACACTGCCAGCTGGGTTAGTGAGTTACAAGACAGGGACAGAGAACTTCAATCACTGATGCAAGTCATGAATGTCTCAGTAACTGATTTACAGAATGATCAACAATTATTTGTGGATCTCAGAACAGCTGTTGATGCAGTGGATACAGTGTCTTATACAACTCTTGTGTCTAATCTCAATTCTAGAGTGAGTTTTGATTGTTACTGTCAGAAACATGAATTATTTCAGCTTAATTTTTTATCACCAAAATTTCTTGCCCAACAAATTTTTCTGTACTTTTTTCATATATTCTTAAATATTTCTGAAAATGAATCCTAATTTTGTAGCCAATAGACAAAATTTGAGTCAATTTTCAGTTTTTACTCAAAAAATAATTTTTTGTCCCAAACTTCTGAAGAAAAGTACAGACTATAAACAGGACCATTTTTTGAATTTGTGACGAAAAGAGGGAACTGGTGGTGTAAGGGCTAAGATGCATCAGTTTGTTAGCTGACCAGTATGTTGTGGTAAAATATATAGTAATTTACTAGTTAAATATACTATTATTAGTGAATGGATCCTTTTCTATAATATAGAGAACCCTAAACCACTTAACATAAAACACTAAATTTAGCAGCAGTGAATATCCAATTAGGAGTCAGAGTGACTCGTCAAAGTTTTTAGTCCCCGTTCGGACGCAGTCCGAAAACGTGTGTGCGTCTGTGCGTGCGGCCGGACCTGTATCTTAGAAATGCATGGACCAATCACAATCAAACTTCACACATACATCACACATGATATTATACATATGCACGTCAATTTGTTTCACGATCTGATTTAAGATGGCCGAATGGCGGCCATTTTTGTGCTAAAAATCATCAAAATCAAGCATTTCCCAGTTGTTTATAGATGGATTTTGTTCAAACTTTGTTTATACATTAGACATTATGGGCCCTTCATGCAAATAATTTTGTTTTTCAGATAAGATTCAAAATTGCCGGCTGGCGGCCATTTTGTTTTAATGAATGTGGTTCTCGTGCCATATCTCTGACTTGTTTTGACTGATTATGTTCAAATTTTAAATATTCATTATACATCATGTCATAGATAAACAGATATATTGGTTCGACGATCATATTCAAAATGGCTGAATGGTGGTCATTTTTGTGCTAAAAAATCATCAAATATCAAGCATTTCTGGCATTTATGGATGGATTTCAGTCAAACTTGGTACATACATTAG